TCTCACTTTGGCTAGTTTGGAGCATTTCATACAGCATATCACTCCATTTTTTTCTTGAGGTCCTTTCTTCACTGTACTGTTGAACACAACTCTCATCACTAAACTTGGGAGTGTCAATCCTTTCACATGATTATTTTGTATTATCTATTGTCACTCTCTAAGTTATCTCATATAGTCTGATAGTTTACTCACCTTCTAAATGATAACTCATGGATTTGTATTTTATGCAGTTCTCTCTGGAACTTAAGTTCCAAATACCCTATGCCAATTTGACTTTTGCACTTGTATTTCCGATAGTAATTGCAAACTTTGCACATGAAAAATGAATTTCTTAACTCCATGTTTATTCTTCCTAAAATCTCTCTCATTTCAGTAAATGCCAATTCTCTTTTTTCATTTGCTTAGCCAAAATCCTTATAGATTCCAGTAGTTCTTCCCCCCACCCCCTTTTCTTAACTCCGTGTATGGTCTTTCAGCCAATGATGTAAACTTTGCCTTTATAGCACATATCACCATTCCCAGTCACCACCCTGTTCTCAAACTTAACCATCTCTCCCCTTGAGTATGATCACATCCTCCTTTACATTTTAATAGCCTTTTCTCATGGGTACTGTCTTAAGAGACTGAACAAATGCCCTTGTGACCTTCTGACCAAGTGATTCTGGTAAACAATTTTAGTCACATCATGCGTCTGTTGAACACCTACATCCAATGGTTTCACTTCTTGCTCAGAATGAAACTCAAAGCCTTTAGTGAATGAGTTATACGGCCCTACCAAAACAGATTCTCCATGACATCTCCTACTTGGCCTCACACATTTTTCCCCACACTTCACTCCAGTCACACTGAACTCACTGCTGACCCTTGCACATGCCAAACAAAGTTCTGTATGCAGACATTTGAAAAGGTGTTCCTTCTGAATGCTTTCCCTTAGATACTTCAATAATTAGTTAATTCATTTATTTTATCTTTTTCCCCCATAAATGTCTTTTTAATGAGGTAAGATCAATAGATTGAGTAGCCCAATAGGTACAATAGTTAGAGCACAAAACATATTTAAAGTATCAAGAATATATATACTTTTTATTATTTGTTTGTTTAGCAAGACAGAGAAAGTGCATGTTTAGGGGCATAAAGTAAGGGAGAGAGAGAATCCTAAGGAGCCCACTGAGTGGTGGTGGCGGGGGGAGTGGTAGGGGCTTGATCTCACAACACTGAGATCATGACCTGAGCCAAAATCAAGAGTTGGACGTTCAACTAACTGAGATACCTAGGCACCCTGGGAATAATCTACTTCTTAAATTCTTTCCAATATATATTATTTTCTTCTCACTTGACAGAAATGTGCAATCTTCCTGACACTATTTCTTTAACAGCAAGATCACTGTTTCCAAGTTTTGTTGTTGTTGTTGTTGTTGTTGAAAAGGAATGGGTATTTCAGAAATATACATCTTGATAAGAATTTAATTAGAAATTCTTGTAATTGGTTTTTTTTTTACCACTAAATTTAATTGTTACATTTTGTCAATAGCAATGTTTCTGTAAAGGACTAACTATAAGGCCAATGTTATTGATGTCACATAAAAATTTTTCAGAACAGAATTTTGGTTGTTTACCATTGCTTTGGTTTCTTGCTACATGAAAAATATATTCCAACTGAGTCTCAAGTATCTGCTGAGTAGAATGTAAACCACAAGACCACAGAATGTGTTTTTCATAATAAAAAAATGTGTCCCAATTTCAACTGAAGAAATGAGTTTTGATGAGTAGGCTAGTATCTTTTTTTTACATTTGGTATTTGTTTCTGTAGCACAGCAAACTGAAGTGATATTCTTGAATAAGAATTAAAATTTCTAACCTCTAAGATGCTACTCATGAACTTTTGCTGAATTACAGAATCAAAGAAAGGTATGTGGTTCTCTTATGCTATATCCAGTCACCAGTCTCCCACTGGTATTGTGGCCAGTAGTGCCCTCTCAGGCTGTGATCTTGATCTTCCTGACCTCATAACCACTCCCCATTTTGTTGACATTGGCATCTTCTACATTCTTTTGCTACAGGGTCTTTCTAGGTTGATATTCTAATTTATTACACAAAATTTAATGTATGATATGGTTTAAGAGTTTAATTATGCCTCAGTATGTCAATATTTAAGAATTTACTTGATTCAAAATTAAAGTTTGAGTAACAGCTTCTAGAGGCTAAGAAGAAAAAAAATAACTTCAATGGGAGGTAATTCACTATTCAAATAATCCAATTTTATCTAAAACATATGAATTCCTTCTTTATATATACACGCAAGTACCATATAAAAATATTTTGGTAAAATTTGCTGTGCTTTATATCTGTAATGCGATTTAACTTTAGGAGTATATACATACATATATTTTCTTTGTTAGAACATATGTTCTTTATATGCCTTTAAATAGCATGAATCATAATCTTTCATTGAACTGATCAGAGTTATTAATTTAGGGATATTATTTTAAATGTAATATTTCACCTTCATTGGTGAAGTCATCTGAGGAATATTCATTACATAAAACAGATAAGATTTATGATCTGATTTTCCCTTGCAAATACAATATTTCTGAAAAATTTAATAAATGGGTTTAACATAACTATACTTCATAAATGTTAAATTTAAATATTATATTTACATATTATATTCCAATAATATTTTCATAAGATTCCTCTTCTGAGGTTAAAATCTCTTGCTAGAATTCTAGGCATTAAATTAAGATGCAAAAGGAAGAAGTTCTACAGTTTTGAGATCCAGGGCCTCAAAGTTGTTTGAGGTTAGGCACTGATTTCTAGGGGAGACTTATAATTACTATATCATTAATTATCAATTTATCATCTTCATATATATGTATATTCATACATATACATATAAGTATAACATATAGCACATAATGATATTTGTATGTATAATGTATGTATATGAACATATGCAAATACGTATTTGTGCATTGTTATATACATATATACAGACAGAGAGAGAATTTTTATACTGACTCATTCAAGAAATTATTGTAAATTTAAACTTCTTGAGCTAAAAGAGTCAGCTATAGTGGATAAAATGAGTCAATTCCTCAGAAGAAAAACTTTAAATCTGAAAGTAACCAAAGGCTTTTGTCAGGACTGGATAATCTGTGTTCTATTTATCAGTTTTCTCTATATTCCATTATTTGGATGAAAGTGCAGAACTACAGGATTCGTAATAGTATAGGTGATATATTTACCAGGCATCCTTACTCTTAAATTATAATAATCATGGTCACCATTTAAATCTGCTTAACTTTTAAAAAGAATTTGAGAATAGTGCACTATGATAAAGCATTAATAACTTCTTGGGACTCTTAGCTGGCTAAGTTGGTTGTGCATTTGACCCCTAATTTCCACTCAGATCATGATTCCAGTTCAACCCCACTTTGGGCTCCCTGCTGAGCATGAAACCTGCTTAGAAGTCTCTCCGTCCCTCCCTCTGCCTCTCTCCACCACTTGTGCATTCTCTCTCTCAAATATATATATATATTGAATATATATATATTCAAATACACTTAAAATATGTTTTTTTAATGTTTTATTTACTTCTGAGAGAGAGAGAGAGGGAGACAGCGTGAGCAGGGGAAGGTCAGAGAGGGAGACACAGAATCTGAAGCAGGCTCCAGGCTCTGAGCTAGCTGTCAGCACAGAGCCCGACACAGAACTCGAACCCACGAACCATGAGATCATGACCTAAGCCGAAGTCAGAGACTTACCCGACCGATCCAACCAGTCGCCCCATAAAAGGTATATTTTTTTTATACCTAAAAGGGCTTTGACACTCTAACCCAGAAAATGCCTTATGCATTTGGGAGGATCAACCACTCTGATTTATCAAAAAAAATTAACCAAATCTTAGTCACAATTCAAGAGAAAAAAAAAACTGTGTCTAATTGATATAACATGAAAATGTAGAAGACTGAAAACAACATACTTCAGAAAATATATAAATTGTCATTTTTTAACACAGTTTAAAAATGCACTGAGAAAGGAAAAAAACACTTTTAATTTCCTCCATTTCATTTTTTTCCCATTTACTTTGATATTTTAACTGAAGATAAGAATCAGACTCCCAGGCTATACTCCATCCTATTGTTACTTGTTAAAATGACACTGTGCTTTATTTTATTTTACATTAGTGAAGAATCTGGTAATATATGGCAATGGGATAATTGCATTACAGTATTTTTATTAACAATGCCCTGTATTTACTTGTAGACAAGTTAAAGGGGTGATTGTGCCCCCAGGGAGTACACAAAATGTCTGGAGAATTTTTCTTATTATCATGACTGGGGGTTTGACTTTATCTAGTGAATAGAGCCCAGAGATACTGCCAATCCAACAAGAAACGGAACAACCCTCACAACAAATGTCAATAATGCAGAAGTTGATAAACAATGGTAAAGGCAATAGGTAAGCAGAAAAGCACTACTTCATATGTCTTTTTTATTTTTTCCTGAAAGAAAGAGGGTTAAGTTTTTTCCTTGAATCAAATACGGTAGTTACAAGAAGAATGACTGCAACAACACATTTCCCCATCCCCATTTATGGATAAAATTGAGCTAACCAAAAAATGTATATGTATAAGGTATGTATAACATATACTGACACTTTCTAATATTAATAACTAAATTTAGATACATAAAATAATATAAAAATAAATATCGTCATACCACTTAAGAGAGAAATATGTTACTTATGGTTCTTAGTCATTTATTCTAAGTAAATGATGAAATTGAGAGGATATGAAATTGACAATATAGTGATTATTGATTTAATAAATGCATTTCAATTTAATATTGCAGACAGTCCTAAAATTAATAGAAAATAAAAGTGCTTAGTGGCTTACACACATGTTCTATTAACATTTCTATAATAGCTGACAAATGAAAAATTATCACACTAAAAAACGAAAAATATGTATTGACATAAATGTTAATAATAATAAACTTACTCTATCATAGAGATAGTTATGAAGTCATCTGAACCGTACTTTAGGCTGCAAGGTAAAGAAAAGGTTTGTCAAATACTACACCTAAATAATAATTATAGCAATATTTAGATTTTTCATTATTTGAGTTAGATTGGATTAATTATAATTAAAAGGCACACGTTTCCCTCAAGAAAATGTAAGATAATATTTTCTATGTAATAATAAGCTTCTGATGAGTAAACCTTAAGATAAAGCCAGTAAACAAATTTATCCAGATAGATGTAATTATATTAATTTAGTACTTTTTAAAATTGTGTTTTACATGCATAGTATGTTTTTTAAAAAATGAATTAATTCTCTATTTTTAATTCAATGATTGTAAGGTACATTTTGCTAAATTAGATCTTTATTTAATCTTATATTAATATTTAGTATCTTAAACTTTGAATTAGATGGAATACTTCCAAATCATATTTTTAGTATATGTGCTGCCGAGGTGGGCTCAAATAATATTTTTAAACACTTTAGCAACTAATATTTATACATTATTTGCTAATAAATAAATTACAGTTTGTACTCCACAATATGAGATTATTCCATCTCCCAATAATATTCCATGTTCCTTAGAATTTTGTTTCTATTTGTGCTTATGTGTATAGTGCTACATAGATATGAACAGTCACCTGATGGACTGGATTTTAGTATAGATGTGTGTTTGTGTATATACATGTTTATGTGTTTGTGTGTTGTTGTGAAAAGAGTTCTGTGATTAAATTCACTTGAGATTATGGGTTATAAAATATTATTTTCAATTAATGAAGTTCATAATTGCTTAAATATATACCAAGCACTAGTTTGATGATATATCTTCCTAATTTAAAATAGGAAACAAAATTATTCCTCTTAGAAGCCTTCATTTTCTAGCATACCTTTTTCTTTTGTGGAAGCATACTTTCTGCTATAACTACCATTATGTAGGCTGGATTATTCTGAAGTTAATGCATAGAGACATCATGCCACCTAAATTTCTCAACTTTAGAGATCCCTGTCTCTCAGTTTCAGTATCAAGCTTCCTATTCTATTCACTTTAATTTTTCCTCCTCGAAGTAAAAGAAGGTATTTGAATCTTCCACTGAGTGAGAACAGTTCAGCCCCCCACATTCCAGAGAAGCATATTTTAAATGAAGTTGGAAGATGTATGAAAAATATTAGTATTTTCTTGGCATGTTTTGGGGTGGTGGAGATAATTATTCTCCTCTGTTATATTTCAATCTAATTTAAAAGTCTTTTGTATATGTTTAAACCAACTTTTATTAAAATATATGGACAGTGCATGTTAATTCCATTTAAAGTCATGTCCAGTGACAAAAAATGTGTTATTATGAAATTCTTACATTTGGTTGCATTTTGTAACCTTGACTTAAAGTCTTACGTTAGGCTTAATGGTTATTTTTTTGAGTTAAATGTTTTACAGAACATTTTTTCTATATAATATTCTACATATACATTTTTAATGCCAAGATTGTTAAGGGAAGTTATATCTTACACCAGAGTTATAAAAGTGGAATATTTCCCTGATTGATTGGAAGAACAAATATTGTTAAAATGTTGGTTATTACTCAAAGTAAACTACACATTCAATGCAATCTCTATCAAAATAACACCAGCATTCTTCATAGAGCTAGAACACACAATTCTAAAATTTTCATGGAAACAGAAAAAAAACAGAATAGCCAAAGTAATATTGAAAAAGAAAACCAAAGCTGGAGGTATCACAGATCAGGACATCAAGTTGTATTACAAAGCTGTAATCATCAAGATAGTGTGGTAATGACACAAAAACAGAGACATAGATCAATGGCACAGTATATATAACCCAGCAGTGGGCCCAAAAATGTATGTCCAACTAATCTTCAATAAAGCAGGAAGGAATATCTAATGGAAAGAAAACAGTCTTTTTAGCAAATGGTCCTGAAAAACTGGACAACGACATGCTGAAAAATGAAATTGGACCACTTTCTTACACCAGACACAAATATACATTCAAAATGGATGAAAGACCTAATGTGAGACAGGAACCCACCAAAATCTTACAGGTATCCATCAAAATTTTTTTACCATGGCTGCAGCAACTTTTTACAGGTCCCCAAAAGCTGGGGAAACAAAAGCAGAGATGAACTATTAGGACCTCATCAAAATAAAAAGCTTCTGCCCGGTGAAGGAAACGATCAGCAAAACTAACAGGAAACCAACAGAATGGGAGAAGTTATTTGCAAATGACATATCAGATAAAGCGTTAGTATTCAAAATCTATAAAGAACTTATCTAACTCAACACCCAAAAAACCAAATAATCCAGTGAAGATAACAGACATAAATAGATAATTTTCCAAAAAAGACATCCAAATGGCTAATAGACACATGAAAAGATGCTCAACATCATGCATCATCCGAGAAATACATATCAAAACTGCATTGAGATACCACCTCACACCAGTGAGAATGGCTAACAACAATGAACAAATCAGTAAACAAAAGATATTGGTGAGGATGTGAAGAATGGGGAACACTTTTACACTGTTGGTGGAAATGCAAATTGGTTCAGCCACTCTGGAAAACAGTTTGGAGGTCCTTCAAAAAGTTAAAAATATAACTGCCTTACAACCCAGCAATTGCACTACTAAATATTTATCCAAAGAATACAAAAATATTAATTCAAAGGGGCACATGCACCCCAATGTTTATAGCAGTGTTATCAACAATGGCCAAATTATGGAAAGAGCCCAAATGCCCACTGACTGATGAATGGATAAAGAAGAGGTGATATACACACACAATGGAATACTACTTGTCAATGAAAAAGAAAGAAATCTTGACATTTGCAACAATGTGGATGGAACTAGATTATATTATTCTAAGAGAAATAAATCAATCAGAGATAGACAAATATGATTTCACTCATATGTGTAATTTACTAAACAGAACAGATGAACATAGGAGAAGGGAAGGAAAAATAAGATAAAAATATAGGGAAGCAAACCTTCATAGATCTTAACTATAGAGAACACACTGAGGTTTTCTGGAGGGGAGGTGGGTGGGAAAATAGGTGAAAATAGGCTAAATGGGTTATGCGCATTAAGTAGGCACTTGCTGGTATGAGCACTTGGTGTTAAATGTTAGTGATGAATCATGGAGTTCTACTCCTGAATTCAGTACTACACTATATGTTAACTAACATGATTTAAATAAATAAGTGAAATAAAAATGAAAAAAATCATTAAATTTAAATTCACATTTATACAACTTTTACATTTATCTGAACTCTAATAATGAATATATGACTTTAAGTGTAGTTTTAATACCATAAATCTTATGGTAAATAAATATTTTCACATAAATTTCTTCAATTCATATATATTAAATGTGCCCAAAGATAATAAATGTAGAATCTGATAATAGAAAGTGAAAAATGAACAGATTCTGATGCGATTATTAGTTTTTTTCTGAAATTTATTAGTGTATTTAGATTTAAAACAATAAACATCTTATCCCTCTTTTCAACATATAGGGTAGAGATAACATTTATCAATAGCTGAAAAATTATATATATTTACATATAGTTAGTATTTACCTATTCACATGTATAGTTCTGGAAAGCCATTTATAATCACAAATACCCTTTGAGTAAAATTTTAGTTTCTTTAATTTTTTGTCTCTTAATTTTTCCTGATACTCTCAACAGAGGAATACTCATACTACCAAGTTGGTGTTATAATTAAGACTGTAAAAGCCAAAACTTTGAGTGTGGTTTTAAGGACAAACTCAAGAATAATTGTCATTCAAACTTACTAAATAGCTATTTTCGATAGGAAAAATGTTCTGAGTAAAAAGTCCTGAATTCAGGGCTGATATTGAGAAATTTATCATATTATTATGAATACCTTTTTTTTGGTTTGTTTTTAATTTTCCCAGTGCTAAAAGCACTCATAAAATCTTGCCTGGATGTCAATTTTAGGTGACAGTTTTCAGCTTTAGCAAGCAATTTTGCCAGTGTTCCAACAATTTTACTGTGCAAAATCATACCAAAAAATGAAACATGCCACCAAAATTATTTCAGCTCTCAAGCAACTGGAAAGAGGGTAAAAGTCAACAAAAGGCAAATACAGGTTGACAGAAAAAAAGTATTGGCAAAAAGAACTAGAATATACATAACAAAATAAAGCTGGTTCACAGTTAATTTTCTTATTGTTTAAAAATGATTTTGCAAGGAAAATTTCTAAATAATATAATTTGGGACTAGTTTTATTTTAACTACATTTGTATAATGGTATATTATTCTATATTTTATTTTGCCATTTAGGCATATAAAAAAACTATGATTATACTTAGGCAAGAAAAATTACTGTATTTCCATTAAATGGGTGAGTAAATTTAAAATGCCAGTTTTATACTTACTTTTCATAATTACTTGGAAATTCAAAGACAATCTATAAAAAATACCCCCAAATATTACATTTATGGAAAAGAAATCCCATTTATAATTGTTAAAGATAACAGAATTATTAACTCTGCAAAACCTAAGTACTGATATTGACAAAAGGTTGTGAATCATAAAGTTAAAGCCAATAACTGTAAATTAAAAACCCTTACATTTGACTAATTGTCTTTTAAGTGATTTGAAAGAGATGAATCAGCTTTGCTTGTCAATATTTTTATTTGACTAAACTAAGTTATAGTATGCAGCCTAAGCTCGTAATTATTATTGTACTTTTAGTTAGGCAATATTTCCTACCAAAAAAGATTTTGCTTGTCTCTCAAAGCTTATGTAAACACAAATCCTCCATAAAGCTGTCTGAAATGAATGTTTCTTTGTGGACCTGTGGTTTATTATTTCTATGTGAAATATATCATTATAAATTTTAAGAACAATAAATATTTCTATTCATCAGATGATATATAATATATAACACATAATATAATTAACATTATAATATAATATTATAAAACATAATAATGTAAGTACATATTCTTTTATTATGTGCCAGTAACTCTTATGAGCATTTAACA